ACTCAGTTGGCAGGTGAGGCCAATATCAATATGCACGACTTCCCCTCGTTCAGCAAGAAGACCCTAGACCTAGAAGCAAAGATAGGGCATGGTCAAACACCCACAACGGATGGAAGGAAGAAGTCACTACCTCCCAACTGGAAGGCGAAGGATCGCATCATGTTTGTTGACAATGATGGTTCTACCATCGAGTTGGAAGATGACTTCCAGGCGGGAGTAGGTTCAGAGACAGGCAGCGTAGAGGCTTCACGGGGTGGAGTAGTCGATGCCTCGATACATAAAGGTAACGCGACTGGTAGACGTCGTGGAGGCTCCCGGTCTAGGAGTCAAGTTGACCCCAACGCTCCTCCACGAAAGAAAGCGGGTCTCACTGAGGACGTGTGGAGAAACCGGTACACCCGGCAAGCTTGTATCCGTTGTGGCCAATATGACCATAATCCGTTCAAGTGCCGTAATAAAAAGGTGACCGAGAAGATCCCGCCTACGATGGGGCAGGCGTTGGGATCCTCCGTTGGTGGCAATGTGGTCAGCAGTTCTGGCACTGCTTCGGGAAACGCGTCGAGCCAGTGGGAATAGTAGTTGTTCCTACTAGGGTCGAGGTGGTGGACGCACCCTCACCATCTCGAGAGATGGCCTAAGCTACTGACTCTGTTGTCGTCCTGCAAACACATTCAGACCCATCGAGCCTCTGTTCGATGAATGTGTTCAAGTCCTTAGAGGAGCTAGAGGAGGAGTGGTCCAAATCAAACCCGCTAGCTTCTTGGACGGCATTGGCTAACGCCCTTAGGAGTGATATGTTCGTCGGCGAGGTAGTCATCCACGACAGCAAGGCCGGGGCCTATTATGACACTTGCTCGACGCAGAATTTTATCAGTCGCGCGTGCGTTGAGAGACTGCGCTTACACGGGTAAGTGCAGCGGCGGAGTCGACATGTGCACGTACACGGGAGGGGAACTGAGACATCGCATCCCGTTCGTAGTTAGCGATGATCTCCCAATGGACATCTTGTTAGATATGTACTACCTCTCTGTTACACAGCTCCAGTTTGACTGGGACCGGAAAGTGGTCAAATACACTTGGCCAAGGGGGGACCGCCATATTACATACGTTCAAAGCTAGTAGTCTGATCGAGTCCTACTGATGCATGTGTGTGACCACGTTCTATAATTATTATAAGCAAAATCCGGAGGAGGGTATGTATCTAGTTTATGTCTCTACAACAAGCGAGTCGGTGAAAATGCCGCCGAAGATAGAGGGAGTAGTCGATAAATACCCTGATCTATTTGAAGAGTCGAAAGGGGTTGAGGGAGGTCGTCCACGCAATAGAGATTATCCCAGAGCCTAGCATCCCTAAGGGTAGGATCTATCGGATGTCTCCAGGCGAGCTTGATGAGCTTCGCCGGCAACTCAAGGATCTCATAGAGAAGGGTTGGATCCGGCCTAGTCTTTCCCCTTACGGATGTACTATTCGTACCAAAGAAGGGGAGGACCCTGAGGATGTGCATTGACTATAGGGGCCTCAATACCATCACAGTGAAGAACGCCGAGCCCCTACCGCGCATCGACGACTTGTTGGATCACGTGCAAGGGTGTCGGTACTTAAGTAAGATAGATCTAAAGTCCGGGTACCATCAGATTGCAATATGGCCCGAGGATCGACACAAAACAGCATTTCAAACCAGGTACGGTCTGTACGAGTTTGTGGTGATGCCTTTCGGCCTTTGCAATGCTCCTGGCACCTTTCAGCACGCGATGAGCCGGATATTTCATGACTACTTGGACAAGTTTGTCATCGTGTACCTCGATGACATACTTATCTTTAGTAGGACTGTCGAGGAGCATGTAGCGCACTTAGATAAAGTCCTCCTCAGACAGCCGGTAGAGTACATGTGCAAAAAGATGCCCTCTCAAAAGTTGGCCAAGTCCACCTATGAGAAGGAGCTCTATGCGATCTACAAAGCACTAACCCATTGGAGGCACTACCTCCTAGGTCGCTTCTTCTATGCCAGGACTGATCATCAAACCCTGAGATGGACAAAGACTCAACCGGTACTCTCTGACGCTCTGAAGCGTAGGATCGAAGTCATCGAGGAGTATGACTTCGAACCCCAGTATATCAAGGGGGAGTACAACAAGGTTGCTGATGCGCTGTCACGTAGGCCAGATTTTCTCAGTGCGCTGGTCACTGAATTTGGGTTTGTGGACGATGTTACTCAGTCTTTGGTGGAAGCCTATCGCGAGGACCCATTCATGTCAGAGATCATACACAGAGTCAAGGCGAAGGATAAGGCTACGTCTGAAGAGTTTGAGTTGATCAATGGCCTGCTGTTCCTTGAGAAGGACGGGAATAAACGTCTTTGTGTGCCTAATCGGGAGTCTTTGCGTAGTTCATTTTTAGGAGAATGTCATGATGCCACCGGACATTTTGGGTATAGAAAGACTGCAGCAAATCTGTTGCAGCGGTTCTCGTGGCCCACGATGATGAGAGATGCCAAACTGTATGTTGAGACTTGTCAAGTTTGTCAACGAGACAAGCCCCGAACACAAGCTCCTCTTGGGTTTCTCAAGCCCCTTCCCATTCCGGAAAGGCCTGGTGAAAGCCTGTCCATGGATTTCATGGATACGCTAGTCACCAGCAAGAGTGGCATGAGGTACATCTACGTCATCGTGGATAGATTTAGTAAGTATGCTAGACTAGTAGCTATGCCAGAAACAGCAAAGACTGAGTACGTGGTCAGATTGTTTAAGGAAAACTGCGTTAGAGACTTTGGCCTACCGAAGTCTATAATCAGCGACAGGGATGTCCGATTCACTACTGATCTGTGGAAGGCCGCAGCTGCCGAACAAGGAACGCAGCTGCAGATGACATTTGGAAACCATCCGGAGGCAAATGGACAGGCAGAGCAGATGAACCGCGCTGTCCAACACTTGCTGAGGCATTACATTAAGCCTAATCAAGTGGACTGGGATGTGAAACTCGCTCTCATCGCCAGCCTGTACAACAACGCAGTTCATAGTGCTACGGGAGTAAGTCCTAACAGCCTAACGTTCAAACCTAGACTCCCTCTTGACTTTCTACTACCTAACAATCAGCCCACTGCCACCCCAGGAACTTTGGAATTTGCTTATAGATATGAGAAGCATATGCAGCAGGCTGTAGAGCACATGCACAGAGCACATGCGGCGATGATCGAATATGAAAACAAACACCGCCGCCCATCTACGTTTCAGGTAGGGGACAGAGTCTGGGTCAAGGCTTCTGAACTGGGACAGGAGCACGGGATTTCCCGAAAGCTCATGCCACAGTATTTTGGACCGTGGGAGGTTCTGGATGTAGTTGGGAATGAACTAGACGGACCCTCATATGTGATTCGGATCCCTGGACACCTTCGTACCTACCCTGTTTTTCACGCCTCTAAGCCTTGAACAAGTCAACTCCATCGGCGCATTCTGTCCTTTGTATTGCAAAAAAAAACACACACTCCCCTTTGTTCACATTACAGATGCAAGTCGGTATAGCAT